GCTTTCTCGTACCTGCCACGAGCGACGCTTGCGTAACGCGATACGTCGATAACACCAAGCTTGTCTTCAATCAAGGTCACAGGCTGTGTCCATTAAGTAGAACATTGCGGTAGGTCACTTTCTGCCAGGCATACTTGCATGTACTTTGTCACACTGATCCTCATTTCGCAACGTGTTCTGGATGCATCCATGACAAAACTTGTTCCCCACCGCAACTTCAACGCTGCTTAATAGAATGGAGCGGCCTTTGGCCCACAAGTGACGGGTACCGATAAGCACAGGACTCAACTTACAGGGCAATTTCCCGAATGGAATGATTTTTCTTCCGTTTTTTGTATGAATGTAAGACTAGGCGAGTAGTCATGTATGAACAGAATGAAACGATCGCCCTTACGCTGGTTTGTGAGCTCCATCAGGCTGTTCCCAAGGGTCTAGCTATTCGATACAACGGATGAAACCTATGGCCTAGTGAAATGAAATTCGGATTGCTTGCCTGAAACCATATTTTGCCCACCATCTTGGGAACTGTTACACTCAGTTCTTCTCACAAAGAAGCTGTGAAGGTGTAACCGATGCACTACTCTCCCGGGGAGTCCGGAGTTAGGCGTAGCGCTCGCTGACTGTTCACCCATATGTGTTGAGGTGCGGTATCTATTCAATCATCCTTTCATTATTTCAGTCATTTCTACACAACAAGATATTTGCGGGGGTCACAAGACATGAACCGTTCTTGGAAATCGGACTTTGTGGCTAAGTGACCAGAGAACAATTAATTATGGTAGATTCATACCCTTCAAATCGAGCCTGTCTCGCGAAAGTCTCTTTCTTTCTGCCTAACGTTGTGCGAGTTGGAACCAAATAATCTTGAAGCATCTGGTCCACTCAAACCGCGACTGTAGTGGTCATCAGGAGACCCAATTCAAGCCGTTTAACAGTAGCCACCGTCCACTTGTGTGTCTTGCGCCCTTGCTAAGCCAAGGCCTGTTTAGGCCGCAACAACAGGCAGAAGCGTTGCGACCCTAAAAGTGCACACTCCGCCTACGGGACCGAAGAGGAATGGCTGCACTAAATCGACCGCCGTTTTGTCTGCCGCATTTTTGTTCCATGCTCTTCTGGGCATGAAGGTGCTACAATAATTCGAGTACACTCAAATACACTCGGGAAAAACTTGGCATTCTGGATTCTCTTCATTTTATTCTGTCTACGATATACCTTTGAAGGAACTACCATGGTAATTCTGCGTCGAAAAATCCAGCTTGCCCCACAGAATCGACCGAATAGGTTTGCAAAATATTGGAAGGACTTGCGATTCTGCGTCAAGGACTTCCTAAATATGATGTCGTTAGGACTGAGTACAGTTTATCGTGTTTTTTCTCGCGCTCGCTGACTGTACTATTCATACGGTCGCTGAAAATTCGTCGACAGCCCACGGCCGGCTTTTCTCTTCTTTGGGCTCATCAGGTAGGCGCGGTTCCCCTAAGTTTCCGTCAACCTTATGTTCTACTTGAAAGCAAATTGCACGAAATTAGCGAATATACACTCATTTGCAGACTAATTTGGTTTTTCGAGAGGCTCACCTGGAACCCAGCTGAATCCCTCGTTTGTGATGTGTCCAGGCGACTGAATGTGCTGCACCAGGCCGCTTCATGTTTCAGTCGCTACGATATTCGAGATATCGCGAAACATGTATATATTTGTAATGTACTGCTCATAAGGTTGCTGAAAATCCGTCGGCAGCCCACGACCGGTTTTGCCCTTCTTGTGGTTCATCTGGCCTGGAAACATCACAATCGAGAGATTCAGCTGGGTTTCAGTGGAGTCTCTCGCAAAACCAAATTAGTTTGCAAATGAGTGTACTTCGCGAAAAAGTCACAAACGTTCTTTTACTACGATCTCTGCGTGATTCCGAAAAATTCTTCTTCCAGATGCAATGTGCAGTCCGAAGTGTTCTCCCTGGCTGTCCGGATAGTGCATACTTCGTGACTTCGTGAGATTTCGTCTCATTTGTTCGTTTGGTGAAAAATACTTCATTCGTTCGTCTCTTTTCAGCATTTGTTTACTTTGTACCGCCATTACAGTTGTTCAAATACGAGAGTGAATAATCGATATTCGCAACAAGCAGCATGATCAACGACATCAGACAAGAGAACAACAATTTCATGTGAAAACCTAGGATGAACTTTTTCCAGTGATATTTGTTCCGATACACAGGGCTGCACAACCATGTCCGGTTTCCGGTACTGTGACTTTCTGGGATCATAGCAATGTTGAGACAGCTAAAATAGGGGTAAAATGCCAATAGGTCACACATTCTGTCTTTTGTTTCACGCTTTCCAAGGAGTCGTTGAGTGTTAATGAACCCACCGAGGCATCATCAGCATCCTGTCGTTCACTTGGAGATCGTCGGTTCCTTGTGGTTTGAAAATTCTCCTTGTCCCAGAGAAGTGACATTGCCTCCTGATCAAGTATGATTTATATATGGGACTAGCCACGTATGCATTATAAAAATTCTGAAGTTTATACATGTTCAGAGATATCTGTTAAAAGCAGCAGCACCGTGTGGAGATAGCCAAATGTCCTTGAATTGTGGCCCCATGATTCTAGAGCGAGATTTCATCCTGTAAGGACAGCCAGTCTGGATGAGGTGAGTGGCAGTAACGATACAGCCACTTCATCTTTGTTCATAGCCACACCACTCTCGTTTGAACGGCCGTGTTCCTGTTCTGGCGTAATTATTCCGGTGAGTCCACACCAAACCGGGAAAGCACTGGACCCGAGTTTCGCTCCTATTAGAGCTCATCAGCAGTGCATATCCATTGGCCGTGCCGGGATTTGAACCCCGGACATATGACATGCGAGGCGAGCGTGTAACCACTACCCCACCAACGCACCTTGGACAAATCTGAATTATCACGTTTGAAGAGGCGAACATGTTCACACTTAAGCGATGTGATTGGTGTGCCCAACTCATCGAACGGCGACCCGGTAACTGTAACAGATTCTCGCATTCACGAGTTTCCAAAAGAAAGATAAACACGACTTTTCAGCTCGATGACCAACCCAAGCTTCGACGGAGTACAGTGGGTATAGTTGGGCAGTACGTGACGGACTTGACACCCCGAAGTCTCCTGGCTGCAATACTTTCTCTCCATAAAGTTCATCCTTCCAGGACACGAAAATTTGATTCATCTGGACGGATTCTCCAGTGGAAAAGGATGAATTATTTTGCCAATTCAGTAAACGTTCGGATTTGCATTTTGTACTCACAGGCTTACAAGGCTCACAGGCATTTATTTCATCACAACTGAGCGAGTATACCCTCACCTCCAACCACGCGATTCCATGTTCCTCCCCCGGGGACGAGTTTGGGCCAAAGATACCGCTCTCAATCTGTCATTTCCCATTTGCATAACTGATACGTTCGATAAAGAATGAATGCGCTGCAAACCCAGGTCCCCGTTAAACTGGGATTCTCAAAATCACAACAAATACGAGCTCTAGTAGCCTCAACGGGGTTCCGCTTTCGCGTTCCATCTTGATCCGAGTGATCTTTACTCGAGTTGTCGGAAACCCATCTGCGTCTTTTTTATTGTAGTTCAGTGTTTTTTCGATCGTCACTCCTATCGAAAGTTGTGGGCTAGACTCCATGAGCAGTGTCACCACGACCAACGTCATCGACAGCATGACACCAGTCTTCAACACCGATGTTTCACTGCCGTACAACCATGATGTATTTGAAGGACTTACCGTAAAGAAAAGAGTAAAAGTGGACGGGGAAGGGACTTAGCGCTAGCTTGCCACAATCATTCCGTGGTGCCTACACCTCCAGACATTCACTCAGGCGATCTGGATAGAAGCTGACAACAAAAACGTCACTAACATCGGTTAGAAGCCATAACTTGTAGTCTTTCCAACCAGGCACAGTGAGGATCACGCGGTCCCCACCCTGGAAGGCGAGTGGCACCGACAGCACCCAAGCGTTTCGTGATCTCCTTCATACTCCTCTGCCAAGTCAAGGGTTGACCACCTCTCTGTTTACGCCACTCCGAATTCGGCATGAAAAACAGCACTCTCTTCGGCAAACGATGGTTCGGCATACGCAACACATGTCCCAACCAACGCAGCTTCTGGTGCTGGACACATCATTCAATCAAAGTACCCATTGCACAACCGAAAACTCGCTTCCTAATTGCCTCGTTACGGATACGCCGACACCAACCCACACGAGCTATGGTTCTGAGACAACGATTGTCGAACACCTGAAGACGTCTCAGTCCCGCTGCTCGAACAAGCCGTCTCACAGTCATCCAACGAAACAGCCCGCACTGTAGCTTGACACCCACGTCCCTTGAGATTCAGGAATACACCACTCTGATGCCGCAAGTGTCTCAAATTAGCAAACGCAACTCGGGCCTTGCAGATGCGTGCATTAACCTCATCTGTCACACTACAGTCAAAACTAATGCAACTTCCAAGATACGTAAAACGCTTCACAAATTCCAGTGCCTCTCCGTGGATAGTAAGTGGCGCGTTCAGTGACAGCATGTCCAGGAGCATGATCATACATCTTCACAGGCTATTTGAACATCAGGGTTCTGGAGACTCTCCGACGCTCATCTCATTATTTCACTCACAACGAAGTTGAGAAGGAATGGAGAGAGTGGGCATCCCCGACGGACACCACTTTGCGTACGAAAGCTTTTGGAGAGCTCTCCGTACACTCTCACACGTCCGGAAGTCTGAGAATACAAAGAACTTATTATGTTTACAAACTTCCGGGGCATTCCTTGGTGGGCAAACGTCTCAAGAAGAACAGACCGATCAACCGAGTCGAATGCGTCTCGGAAATCCAGGAATACTGGAATTGTGGGTCTCTTATACGTATGGCGTTGTTCTAGCATCTGACGCAGTGTGAAGATTTGGTCAACACAACCCCTACCAGGCCGGAATCCCGCTTGCTGCTCTCGAGTCATTATCTTACGAGGCATGCGCACTGTACCTCAAATTAACCATACGTTCAGCCTTGTAGTTGGTGGAGGTTGCATCTAATCATTGTCCTGCCGAGATTTCTCTTCAAGTTCAACCCAGCTACATTGCGATCGCGACCAAAATGCAGCGATCGGAGAAGGTCCGAACAGATGGTCCCGAATTCCTACTGGTAGCAGATTCACCTATGGATGACCATGTCTTGTGTAAAACTCGCAGTGTTTCGTTTTAGAAACGTTTAGCAAATGACCGGGTTGCTAGGTGCCCGAGTACTGATTAACTGCCAGGTAACCCAAGCCCTGACAGGAGAAGTCGACATGCCCGTGGGTTGGGTTCGAACCACGAATCTTCAGGTCAGTGAGTTGGCGTGCTTACTTGCCGTTGACCTAGTTCGAGCTCATCCTTACGGACACTAGAGGATGCCGAGATGTCAAGTCGTATTTGTATTAGTTAGTATTGGAAACTTTGGTATGGTAGACAGTTCTCCACCTGGCCTCTTTATCTGATGATGCACCACTTTTATGGGGGCCGAACTCACTGCATTTGGTCGTCTTGCTCCCATAATCAGTTAACACAAACCATAGGTACTCTTTAGCTAAACGTCTGTGCCATGAACGCGACATATTCCAGTTGCCAGTCGCTATAACTAAAGGCTGATTTGTTGTGGAAGGAGCCAGCAGGATGAACCATGGGCCGCAGTGAAAATACATCTCCCTACGCTATAGGTGTTGCAATAATACTGTAGGGCTTTCGGCATAGAATGATGTCCGTAAAATAAAGAAGGCCCAATAGAAACTTCTCGAATTTCTTCATTCTGTTAGCAGGGTTAAAGCAGCTCAGAGGGAGAAACAATTCACCAGTCGGATGAACCCCCCCCCCCACACACACACCCAGTTTGACGGTAATCACTTGTTGAAACGGTCAACTAAATCACTCAGTTCAACATGTAATAACTCTCTGGTTCCGTTTAATGTGACGAAATCCGAGTGCGTTTTCGTATGCTGAATGTTTATCGATATATTGGAGGATAGAGTTGATAATCAGCTGAATAGAATTTAAGAACATTTTCCACAAGTGAAACTTTTTTCCAAAAATCTAAGGATGACAGACATTGTAACCATTTTGAAGTATATACCGTGGTCCTTGAACATGAAACCCGCCGGGGAGGCCTGACATCAAGGTGTGAATTTCATTCACTTTCGTGTGTAAACTAGAATTACTCTCATTAAGGAAACTACTCACAAGGTTGCTGAAAACTCTTCGACAGCCCACGACCGGTTTCGCCAAATTGATTGCAAATGAGTGTTGTTCTCCAAAACAGTCCTATTTGGGTTCAAGTAGATCATAAGGTTGACGGAAATTCGGGAACTGCGCCTACCTCCTGAGCCCGAAGTGAAAGGGCGAAACAGGTCGTGGGCTGTCGGAGAGTTTTCAGCAACCTTGTGAGTAGTTTCCTTTATGAAAATATGCTACGATATCTCGAATATCGTACCAACTGAAACATGGGGCGGCCAGTGTGCAGCACTTTCAGTTGTAGAATATCATAAACGAGAGATTCACCTGAGTCTCTTGTGAAAACCAAATCGATTTGCGAATTACTCTCATTCAAAAAGTCAGTTCCTCAAAAAAGCACGAAAAGAAAACCGTGATTCCTATTTGCTTTTCGTGCTATTCTGTACTTGGTCGAGGCTGTTTGAATAACAAGTTTTTCGCGACATATCCCTGAGTCGAACAGGTCTTCAGTTCCACTTTGTCATTTGTCCTTTGACCGCCGTCCTCAGATATTGCTTTCATCTACGGTCGATTGTTAAGTGAGATAGGCGAAAGCCGCCATGTTGACATGCTGACATGAGCTCAGTCGTTGAATATAATTCCAAGTTCCTAGAACTCGCTTGCTGGTTGGTCGGCGTCTTTCTATTTTCCGTTCTGTATGATTTTCCTGGTTGTCTCCACAATTTTACACAGGAAATGATGCCCCTAAAATGTATTTTGAACGGAATTTACTCGTGTGTGTGTGCGCGCTTCGGGAAAGACCTTAGACTACTCAGGTTATACATTTCGGTAGCGAACCTCTATTAGCCTCATTACAATGTTGTCCCACTCAGGAGTGTTCAGAACAGCGATCTACAACTTGAGGCGCACGTGATCTTCATGTGTACGTTCGCCAGACAGTAGGTCACGTGTTCTACGCCTCCGGTATTTACATTTCGATTGATTACTGCTAACCAATGGTCTGCAACCTCTTTTCGGCTGAGTTCGAGGGGCCTGCGTTTCACTCTATGAGCATAGGTGTGCTATCTTTTCGATGATGTGATTGATCAAGGACCGTTACGGATGAATAACGATAACTAAGCTCTGATCGAGTGATCTAGTTAACCGACAATTTGACTAGAACACCAGAACGCCTTTGTCAAGCTCAGTTGTCAGTGAAAGGACCACGCTAGACCGAGCTATATCGAAACATGGCGTACAAAGTTTGCAGCTCAAAAGATATGCTAAACGAAAATCTATGGTAATCGCTGGTTGAGCCTCCTGCGTTCCTAAACAAGGCCTACTGGGGTGAAAATTGATGAATTCTATGGTACATTTTAAGTGATTCGACGTTCTTTCTACTCGTTCAACGGTACGGAAAACTTCTTGGGTTTTCTGACAGGGAAGTGAACGTACCAAACATCAAGACATGAGGCTCCCGAATGAGGGATTTATCCATTATTCGGCGCACTTCCGTGACTTCGAACAAACCATCCACCGTTGCTAGCGAACATGGGGAAACGAGGGTAGATCCATTGGGGAAAAAACAGGCACTGATGAAGTTGCCCACACCCAACTCATCTTTTTCTCAGATACGATCATTCAAAAGAATTCTTCTTCCAGGGTGAACAGCATTTACAACTTCTACCGGATTCGCTTAACACGCGTGGACAATATTCGTATTCTGGGCATTTTAGATGAGAAGATGCCATTGGGAAAACAGGTGCGTTATTGATGATAAAATATATACTAACCTATTACTGGTCTGAGAAAAGATACGAAACATAGCTACGAGACATGGAACAGTCTGTAAACTCACTCTACTTTTGTGATGGTGACGTTAGTAGGCGAGATTACCGTGGCACTGTTTTGTATGAAGCGTTACCGAACAATAAATGCTTACCAGATAGCTGAGGGATTTTTATAAAGGACTTTTTCAACGTTACATTTTCTTTTTGGGGCGCTCAGTGACTGTTGTGGACCACAGTCTCTTTAATACCTTCTTATTACCGTGAACCTCGGTCTGGAGAGCTGATTGATAGCCTGATGCGTTGGCCAAACCAGAAAAGTCAATGAACGTGCTAGTCAGCTACTTTATTGATCACTGTCGCGTAAAAGCGGTCAAAAGTGATACTAAGAGTACAACTCAAGGACAAGCGAACAACAACTAATGAAATCTGTCTCAACGAAAACGGTTATTCCATTGGCTGTTACGTAGTCTCGTTACGTTCAGAGCTGGTTCTCCTAATAGTGACTGATAACAAAATGTGTCTGGCTCCCCAAAGATATTTAGGAACATAGTTTCTAACATTCCTCTATTTATACTATTTACCAATTGTTCCATATTCAGACGTTTTTCAAATCTCCACTTTTACCATGTCCACTGGTCGTTTAATCGATCAGTGCTCCGGACAGTACCACTTGATCCAGAGCATATCACGTGACTGTCCGACCACCATGTTGTTGTCTACAGATGCCACAAGTGGTGGTTAATTCAGTCTGTAAAGTGATTTTCGGATTCCTCAACATACACTCATTTGTAAACTGATCCAGTTAAAAATGAACTGTGATATCCCAAATATCGTGCCAGCTGAAAAGTTGTGCGGCACACGAGATTGGAGAATATCATCTGGGATTTTGTTCAGTCTTCTTTTACAACCAAACTGGCATGCGACTGAGTGTAGTTTACGAATTGCTTCCGATTTGGGTTCAAACAGAACACAAGGTTGACGGAAACTTGGGGACTGCACCTACCTGATAGGATCCAAGAAGAACGAAACTGATAAATGGGTAGCTTGTTCCGAAATTGTCCTAAATTTTGAAGACCAATACGGTATTGAACTAATAGAAGCCAAGAAGACAAATTTCTCACTTGGATGCATGAATGTTTCAGGGGAAAACTCGCGCAAATTACGCTACACCTGAAACAAGTAAATGGCAATTTAGAGTGTCTGTAATCTGTCGAAATATCTATCGATCCAGTCGAATGTAAGTAGCCTATAGTGGCCATCAGCCACTCTGGTATAGCATACAGTGAACATATCCCTGAAACGACCATTTTAGTCTAAATCCGAGGTAAAAGTAATACGGCTGCGCATCAGCCTACTGTGCAGCGGAACAATCATGTGAAACAGTGCCGTGCGATTACGTCCACACGTCTGAATCACATCCGATTTCATCCTGTGCCAGGGAAAGGTCAATAAGGGACACATGAAGTTCACGCCCACCCCAGCGCCAAGGCACCCCGTACACAAGCGCACAGACGGCCATCTATGATTAACCGAGACAAAGAAACAACCGTCCGAGAACGGATGTGGGCGTGCAGGAGACACACTGGTTGGTTGAGAGCAGATCGACCATCGAATACGGTCACGAGTGAAAGTTGTAATTGCATTAGGACAGTTTTTCTGACCACCTTCTTGTCTTCTGACTATAACCTAGTAGCGTCAGGGAAGGTGAAGAGATACAACAGTGGTGACGGGGATGGGATACACCGGAAATGCAGCAAATGAGACAAACAAACTGCGTCACATCAGTGACGCCGCTTCGTCTTCTTGTGGTCGCTTCTGCGTCTGGTTGAGATACTCATCAAGCAGCAGATTTCCTTGTGACCCTTTCTGCCACACCGGTGACAAATGTGGTTCCTAAAGGGACAGTTCCTACTTGAAGCATCCTTCGTATAAAAATCAACCTGGGAGAACGCTGAAAGTGCTTTCTCTGAGGGTTGATTTTCATATATGAGGAACGGATATTCCAACCAACAGAGTATTTGACTAATTTCAGTCTGTGTTGACGCACTCACCACCGCACTACCGCATCCGCTACCTCGCCATCTAGCCCCACCTCTCACCAGAGAACGAAACTGTGGCAGCTACAACCGCCGTACAACAAGTAAGCGGCTTTTACAGCTAAAGGTGGTGATGACGTGTTGTTCACTGATTCAGTTGGGATGGTTTTATCATTCACCGCATCCAGTGGACCTCATGTTTTTTTCTAGTGAAACAGAAAGTTGGTTTCTGGTACCGTTTTTCAAATGTTTCACAGTGGAAGTAGGTATCCGCGCAATCCATACTCCTTTCTAAAACTCCCCTTCGGTGCAATTAGGTCCGATTATAGTGTGCTGCAAAGGTCAAAACAGAGCGGTTTCGAAACCAAGTCAACTGGCCTCATCAAAACAGGTCGTACCAAATTATAATACAAAAATAATACATAATCAGCGAATATACACTCATTTGCAAACTAATTGTTTTTTTTTTTTCAAGAGAATCACATGGAACCCAGCTGAATCTCTCGTTTGTGATGTTTTCAGGCAACTGGATGTGCTGCACCAGGCCGCCTCACGTTTCAGTCGCTACGATATTCGAGATATCGCGATACATGCATATCTTTGCAATATACTACTCATAAGGTTGCTGAAAATCCGTCGACAGCCCACGATCGGTTTCGCCCTTTTTGGGGCTCATCAGGTAGGCGCAGTCCCCGAGTTTCTGTCAATTTTATGTTATACATGTATATCTTTGTAATGTACTACTCATAAGGTTGCTGAAAATCCATCGACAGCCCACGACCGGTTTCGCCATTCTTGGGCTCATCAGGCAGGCGCAGTTCCCCTTAGTTTCCGTCACCTTATGATCTACTTGAAACTGATGCAGCACATTCAGTTGCCTGGAAATATCACAAACGAGAGATTCAGCTAGGTTCCGGGTGAGTCGCTCGAAAAACCAAATTAGCTTGCAAATGAGTGTATTTCGCTAATTTCACGCAATTTGCTCTCAAGTAGAACATAAGACTGACAGAAACTTAGGGGAACTGCGCCTACCTGATGAGCCCAAAGTGGAAGGGCGAAACCGATCGTGGACTGTCCAAGAATTTTCAGCAACCGTATGAGTAGTGCGTTACGAATAATAGATAATCATTCAGATGAAAAACCCTCTTGGTGCCTAGCCACCATGCCACGAGTAATGAACACGAGGGCTGGGATACTGCCAGGTTGCCCAGAACTAGACAGAGGAAGTAGACAGATGCGGAGATCGGGTTCGAACCACGGACCTTTCGGTCAGTAAATTCGCGCCTTAACCACTTGGGCCATCTCCTCCCCCGTCAAAGTTTAATAAGCGCTGACTGTTCTCGAGATGGACATGCACTTATACATGGGCACTAACAATTCGCGTCATTAAGTACAACTTCCCTCGTCTCTTGACCATTTGCCGGCGTTTGACTTGTTTGGACGGCTAGATGAATTTTAATCGGGCTATTTTACACTCGAGCTGTGCTCTTACCATATGCTGGTCCAAGAACACGCTCTGACTTCAAAATTCCTGTCTGTCTTATCCTATTTTAACTGTTATTGTCAGCATCTTAGATTTAAACGACATGGATATCTTAACATATCAAGTGCAGCACATTCGTCGTGCGCAAAGTTGGCACAAGAGCACTCACGATCGACAACTGATTGCCGACTTTGAGATCGATAAGCCTTGCGACGGTTTGCGCACCGTTGTGAACTTCGAACCATGTCAGACCTCGAGAGTCTTCCACGTCGGGTTAATCAGTAGTCAAACGTTCAACCAACACAGTCCAAAACCTCATTTTAGGGGAGTTAAACCCGTTCTGCAATTTTCTGTTTAATAAATTGTACCGTAGCAGTATAATACTGTTAGCTACCCAGTACATTATTTTAAGGCTCTTAGTTTGAGTCGTGGTCACACGGATAATGTAACCTCACTGAATAAAACCGGTTGACTTCAGCAAACTTCTATAATATAACACTTTTGAACTGTGTTTATTATAATAACGAAGCCTAACTGCGGGGGATTGAATTGATTGGCTTCTGAAGTACAATGGCCAAGCTTGGCTCCTATACCACATTAGCATTACTTCATCATCGAGAAAGAAAAACACCAACGTTGATGAAAAAATCGTTAAGCTTTAATGCCCTTTGGGAGCCTAGCTACCGTGCCACCACTGGGATACTGCCAGGTTGCCCAAGCTTAGACAGGGGAAGTTGAGAGGCAGAGGTTGGGTTCGAACCACGGACTTTTTTTCAGTCCGCGTATCCCTCACGTGGAACAAACTACCAACATCTGTTGTGGATTGTGGTAACCTCGAGACTTTCAAACATTCGCTTGACGAATACATAAGATCTCACCCAACTTCCCTCATCAACATTTGAGATGCAGATTACAAACAATAGAACATATATGTCATATCATTCCGTTTATCTGTATACATACACACACACCAATATCCTTTGGTCATTGTAAAGCAAAATGCTTTTTAGACCAATATAACCTTGATTTACCTTGATTTACCTTGATTTCCAGTCAGTAAATTTGCTCTCTAACCACTGACCTATCTCAACGCCGATGCTTCGCTGTCGTACGACCATAATTTGTTTGAGGGTCGGATTGTGGAGAAAGGGACTTGGTGCTAGCCTGCTACAACCAGACACCCTGAACAGAAACTCATGAAAAGTAAGCCAGTGATATCGATTAGCAGCCATATCTTGCATCATTTCCAACCAAAAACAGTGAGAATAACGTGAGCTCCATCCCGGAAGGTGATCCGCAGCGGAATTACATTTCAAAGTCGCTCTCACGCCCCTCAGCCATGTCAAATGTTGACCACCACTCTGCTTGTGTCACTCTGAATTAACCAAACGTGATCAAACCACCACAGCTTTTGGTGTTAAACGTAATCTTCGATTAAAAAGCTATGAATTACGCTCCCTGGAGGGAAATTTCTTATGAAAATTGGAAAAAGTACATTCTTAATTCTGTGGTCCTGAACCAACAGTGCTATTAGGACAACAGTTCAGCACCCCTGAATGGTGGGATTTTATATCAATTACAGTTACATCATCATCATCATCATCACCATCATCATCAGAGACAACAACATCGGTATTGACACTCAATCCTCAGTGCATTACAAGGCTTAGAGTGAAAAGAAGAGAAAAAGAGTGGGTGGGGGGAGGAGACCTAGTGCTGACCTATGTCAAGCATACTGAGATGCCTGCACCTTCAATCGCTCAATCAGACAATCTGGAAAGAAACTGACAGCACGAACGCCACTGACATCGATTAGCCGCCGTTTCTTGCAACTTCTCCAGCCAAGCACAGACGGGGTCCCGGGGACCCCACACTGGAAGGCGTACAACACCAACAACACCCATATTTTCGTGATCTTTTTCACGCCTTTCTGCCAAGTCATGCGCTGTCCACCTCGCTGGTTGCGCCATTTTGAAGGAAGCACGGAGAATAACATTCGTCTCGGTAGACGGTGTTTCGGCATGCGTAGCACATGACCGAGCCATCGTAGTCGATGATGCTGGATGTTTTCCACGGACAACCAAATACTCGTTTTTCAATCCCTTGTTACTAATCCGCTGACGCCATCCAAAACCAGTCACGCTTCTGAGGCATCGGTGCTCAAAAACCTGAAGTTGTCTCATATCATCGTTCCACAAAGGCCATGTCTCACGCCCATACAACAAAACAGCCCTTACTGTAGCCTGGTGCACGCGATCGTCAAGACCCAGTGATACACCGTTTTGACGCTACAAGTAACGCAAATTAACAAACGTGATTTCGGCCTTTGAGATTCTTGAACTGACTTCACCACACACATTTGCATTAGAGCTAATACAACTACCGACAAGGTATGTAAAGTTTTCCACAATTTCCTGTGATTTCCCTTGAATTGTAAGGGATATGTTCACAGATAGCTCGTTCTGAAGGTGCTAGGCGTATGCCGAAATGGTGTTCATCCTAATCAACAGAACTTGTGCTGCGCCTTCGACTTGAAAAATCAGGGCGAAATCGTCTAGGTACTCCACCAGCAACAATTTGAACACCGACGTTTTGGAAACCTTCCAGCCTTCGCCTCATTATTTCAGTTGGACAAGAATGGAAAGAGTGGACATCCTCGCCGGACATCACTTTTGGGTTCAATTTCTGGATCCATTAGATTCTCAATGGCTAAGTGACGTGTGTGTGTGTGTGGTTTTGGTAGACCTGAAAAGCGCAGTGAAAGGCAGCATCGTACAAGCGCATGATCGGAGTCCACGCTGCGGATAACTGAGAAGCCACCGATAACTGACGGTCTAGTTGGATTCGGGACTGGTTCTTTGGTGGGCACCAGGTCGGTGAGCGACTTTTGCTGTTCCGGAAGTTGGTTCTACGAGGGATGAGTCTGTGATCAGCACACGTCTGAAGCACGCAACTTCTGATGTTCATGAGTTTCATATCCAACCCATCCGTTGACCATCCAATCGGGCCTCAGCAGCGCTTAATCTACCTAGCTGGGCATTCATGTCACCAGCGACCACAGCGATGTCTAAGCTTTTAGCCCATTGTGAAAGAGCACCCAGTGAGTTAGAGAAACTGTCCTGGATAGATTCAGAACTACAGTCAGTTGGGACGCAAGTTGCCACATGTGTTCCAACCTGTGCTGGTCAGAACCCTGACTATTGATCAACCTGTTATGAGAGACTCTATGGTTGTCGCATGACAATACTCAATATAGCTTAATGGGTCACAGAAACTGTCACACCACGCGGTAGGGTCTAGTCTCTTCGTGACTTTATCCAGTATTCCATTACCAGTAACAATTCGATTATGAAGTACGTCCACTCGTTTCCTTGTAACGTTATGAACAGAGGTACTGAAATCCCACTTGAATTCGGGTGTTTTAGGTAAGTTTTGTCAGTTATTGACGGATAGACAGTATTGTATAACTGACTGACTGCTGCCAGCGTGATGTGAATAACCCACGTTATTCCTTTGGGCCAAACACGGAGTTAGCTTCATCAGTGGGTTCAATCAGCGGGGCATCCAAATGAATACCAGCAATTTTGCTTGTCCATCACTGAAAGCGTGTCTATGGATGATAACCTGGTGGTAGACCAGTAGTCACGTGGTTAATAGTACTGTCATCCTCAGGTTGGAAGTACATCGGTCGGAAACCAATTTAGAACAAGTCTACTTATTGGAATTTATTAGTAATCAGGAGAACTGGCGTATGTCACAGAACACAAGGTAGATCCATGTATTTCCACCAGTCTCACAGTTTCATATAACCGTGGGTGTATTCGGGAGATTGAAACCCCTAATTCTTGCAGAACTGAAGCGCAAAACTTCTCATGTCTGTGTAGCTAGCAGTGTTCAGGACACCACAGAATACTTATTTGGAGAATATCGCGGAGCCAACTTAGAGCTACTCTCCACAAATGACTGTGGATAAGTTGTATCCGGATGTGAGTTTCGCCTGTTCGTGACCTGATCTAACCGGCGGAGCCCATCAAACTGCGATGGAATCCGATGGCATTTGTTCTTCAACGAAATTTGGCGTTCTTTTGACCTCGATCTGTTTGTCCACCTTAGCTGAAGAATTTCAAGCAGGCATTGCGAATGCGGTCGACCACCCATCAAAAGTCTTTTGATAATGAAACAGGCCAGCGTATTTGTCAGCGCTCTGAATCAACCTCTACGAATTTCCATACAACGCAGGTTCAGTGTATTGTAACAGAGAATAAAGCATGTAAACATTCCATTCGAAGCGTTTGAACAGAGGCAGTGTGAGCCGACTCAGCGATACGACAAAGAATGCCTAATCAGCTGATGGGGCGTGCTAGTTAAAAAGTCTTTGAATGATGATTGAGTCCGTTTGGATGATGGAACACATTGGAACAATACATTCCGAGTTTGCATGAGGTGAGTAGCACTCAGACCGGTTGATGATGAACAAGGGGAAGGGATAGGGACGCGTTGTGAGCGAAAATAACACAAGGAAGATGCGAGGCAACAGCCAGTTTTCAGAAAGATCCAAACTTGAGAACTACCCCCACCAGTGTTAGGCGAAATTCTGCACCACTTTACCGCTCGCAGTTAGGCCCTGCTATAACCAAGAAGCTCACCCGCACACGATTGGCCAAAAGCTCGGGCCGCTTGCCAGTCCAGCATCAAGGCGAGGTCTGATTGGTCGAAGGTGTAGACCCAGCCTCAAATCCAGTCCAGTGTAGGCCGGATGCCGCTTGCCAATGTCACATCAAGGCGTCGTAATTTCTAGAATGTTTTCGCTGCATGTAATTTATATACGACGCGCCCTGAGTGTTTTGACCTATTTTTGAGAACTGTGAACACTTTGTGCACCTTTGATAGGAACACTAGCGTGGTAGGTTCAGACCGAGAACTAAGCTAAAGAAATACCGTTATTACAAACAGCTTCAACTTTATATTGCCAATCTGATTTATAAATACACGAGGTGAAGACACTGGACCCATGACGTGACTGGTGCATTTATGTGACCCATGTGGAAATTTGTTGCTAACCTGATCCAGGCCGTCGAGCACCGGAAAAGGAGCTGTTGGGATATGCGCGCATTCAAATGCCTCGTCATTGAGTCAGTATGTCTGCCAACTCGAATTGGAGTTGATGTGAAGAGGCACGTGGGCCCTCTCTGAAGCATGGAGTATGAAGAATGAAGCTGAGGCATGGAAAGTGCGGTGTTGTACATTTGTGGACCGAGCTTGATGAGTGCTAAGGAGTTATCTTATGGGATATGATAGATATTTACGATTTGCTGCACTTCAACAAATGGGGGCCATCTCGATGATGCTTAGGGTAACGTTTATTCTTCTCAGTGTAATACGGGTCGATATCCGTCGCACATTCGACTGGACACTGATGAGACAATGGTCTGCTTGACAGATGTGAGACTCAGAAAGCGGATATATTGTCTGTCTGCTTCAGATTGATTGCAGGTATTGCTGAACCTGTGAGGAAATTACCTGCGTTTAAATAGTCTCCGTTCTGGTGAAATGACTTTTTGGATTCACAGCAGAGAGTCAACCTATCAGCCTTCATATTTTTGGTAGTGCCGGAGTGGGAACCTCGAACGTCAGATGTACGAAGCAAATTCGCTACCAGTACTCTGTCAGCGCGCGTCAAAAACCTACCTGAATCCGCGCACCCAAACAAGCGGATCTGCTTACTGTTGGAAAAATGCAACTGGTTCGCCTGACGCCCCAAGCAACGACCCAGTAGCTGTTCTGGTTCTGTCGATCGGCTGAGTCGTCTTTCAGGACCTCCAAATCAGGCACTGTCAGGGGTACTCGGAACCCGTTGAACTATCTGAATTTCTTACTTCTGAATTGCCGAAGAAGCCTTAAGAGGTGTGTCTATTTAACCTCATCTGAATAGTACTCATGCCGTACTTGTGCGGCGGCTCTTGTTAGACCATACCAAAACAAGGGAGCACCGAACCGGCAATGAGTAGTGGATACATATGGCGGGACCCGTATATGAGCGAGGCTCGCGTGTTACTATCACTACAGTTATGAACGTGGGGCACCTGAATTATGATCTGCTGCCCCTTAAGCTCGACATCAGAACCTGTCTACTTCGAGAATTTAACAGCTGGCTCTGTCTGGTAAACAAGAAAATGCAAATACTCCGGAGCGTTTGGTCAATCAACGCTGAGTCGTAGTTGTCTCGCACAATATCGAAAAAATCGATTTTTTTTAGTTGACTCCAATCATTCTGAATTCGATTAGGCAATCATATAAGCTAAAGCCTAACATGTAACGCGTCGATCAGGTGGAAATCAGTTGTGTGTGTGTGTGTGTGCGTACGGAGGTACCGGCACAGATATTCTGTCTACCAGGTGATCGAGTGTTTTGGCTTCTTACTAGCGTGCGCTGTCCCGTGAATCGATATTACACGGCAATTCTAATATCTCGCCGAGCGGATTGTTTTTCACCGCTCAGTGCCTCAAACCAATGAGGACAACCAGCAGGGGCGTAGTTATGCGAAACCATAACCAGAGGAATTCGCGTCAGAGCAACCCATGACACGCAGGACCCGAGAAACCGAGTTCGGTGTGTGTTCAAAACCACTTTTTTTCAGGGTGATCTCTGCTGTTGAATGCAAATAACAAAACGGATGGTGTTTTGTGAATTCCAACGGACACTGCCTACAACCAGGCTGATGATGCACAAACAAGCAAACGATTGACAGTAATTTTTGTTCGAATTGGAAAGACAGGAAGGTTGAATTGGATGCGTCTCGTGACGACCGAACACGACACCGTATCTAAGTGGTGGGTGATCACGTAACACAAGCTGTGTGCTGTGAATGCTGCTCAACTTGAAGGTCTGAACACTAGTGCGCAGGACTGGACTTGGTTAAAGCTAGAGTAATAATAATCGTTCAGCTGTAGCACCCTTTCGGTGCCAAGCTGCCATGCCACCTGGAAAAAACACTAGGGCTGGAATACTGCCAGGTTGCCCAAGTCTAGACAGGGGAACTCTAGAGGCATAGGTCGGGTTCGAACAACGGACTTTCCGGTCAGTAAATTTGCGCTCTAATCGCTGAGCTATCTCCTCAGGAACACGTGTCTTGCTTAATTGTTCAGTTCTACGGCTGAATTCTATCTATCTTTCCCGAGACCTTGTTACCATTGCGACAGATCCAGCAAGTGTTGGCGTCGCTTTGATGGCCATACTGGGTTCCGAACGTCAGTTTATTGTAGGCAGCGAGGTTTGATAAGCAATCCACATTTGGTTAAACGCGATCCTAAAATTACGCTGGTTCGGCATTCCCATCCACGTGCCCAGGAATCGCAAATCTGGAACAACAAAAGAGTTTTATCCCAAAGCAACTACTCAGAAGGTTGCTGAATACTCTTCGCCAGCCCACAAACGGTCTTCCCCTTCTTGAGGTTCACCAGGTACGCGCAGTTCCCGAATTTCCGTCAACCTTATGTTCTACTTGAACCCAAATTGGACTGTTTTTGACAAAAATACACTCATTTGCAAATCAATCTTGTTTTCATGAGGGACTCAACTGAATATCACAAACGAGAGATTCAGTTGAGTCACTCGTGAAAACCAAATTGAATTTTTTTTACCTCTTTTTACATAAAGTACCCCGCCGAATACTCAAGTCACATATTGAGTTTTTTGCTGATTACATAAAATGCGTGTACGGTGCACCTATTGGTTAAAGAGGCTTTTTCATCCTCGGTCATTGGGAATTTATTCGTTTGTGCTTCCAATGCTGACCGGCAGTAACGACTTTCGGAGTTCGGGAGGCCGATTTCTAAGTTATCCACAGCCAGTCGAGGCGCGTTTTGAACTACCGACGGCAGTGATGACGCTAAGGTGCAGCAGACATGGAAACTGTTGAATCATTCGGGTCACTTCTGGTGCTGTTCAAGCGTATATTTGGGATGGAT